TATTTGATCAACACAAGACTGTCGTGAAACACTTCAGCGATCCATGACAAATCTCATCAAATATGTGCAATAAGTTGTCGGCAGTGATGCAACCATTCACAGAGAATCAAGGAAACTACAATTGATGAATAAACCCTGTAGTATGCAATACGTTTTACTGGTCAACCGATCAGCCTACAGCAGACATCTGGCCTTTCCGCCGTCCATTTTATTCCCCTGTTAATTAATCCAGTATTTCATCACGCAACGTCTGCATTTTCAAATACTTCTTCCCTTTCACTGGTGTCGTGAATTCCTAAACTTTGCTGTTTCAACTACTTTTTTTCAGCAATCGCTTTTGGCACGTTTACGAAATTTCGTCCAGCTGGGATCAACTGCTTCAAGTGTGTGAATTTCCCTATTAAATGTTCCTGAATAGAAAATTTCGCATATGCACGCGCATTTGAATTGTTCTCTTTCGCACTTTTGTCCTTTTATTTTCCAGAAGACTGCGATGGTGCATGTAGGAATTGGTGCAGTTACTGTTCACCACATGGCATGTTTACATATAGACCCTGTATTAGAAGGTTTCGGAACATTTGAATGTATACGTAGTGTGTGGGAAAAAATGCATTACCTTGGTTGCCAGTGGAGATGAAACCTGTTGTGACAAGAAAGAGAGTATTTTAATGGCATGTATAATTTTACTAGGTGTTTTGGTAATGTTTACTGGGTAAACTGGCCCGTTAGTGAAAATCTCGAAGACGTCAGCGGGATTCGGAACTGCGACAGAAAAGGCAATTCCTTGTTACAACCAGTCGTCTGACTTGAGTCAAATATGAAGACTGAAGCCCATCAGATGGGCCCTTGGAGCTCAAGTTGTTAGAATGTTGGTTGTACTAAGACCTTGTCCTTCCCGTCGCACACACACTGATCGCGGCCTTTTTTACTACTGATTAAGTAACGATGCACAATTTCCTGCGAATTTTAAAGCTTTACTGAAGTCCCATAGTAAGAAAATTGTCAAGCAGGTTTTTCTCATTTCTGAAAGTGAACGTTTGATTTGAATAGAGCGAACCTCACTTGTTCATTATGAATGCTTTCATTCAGCAGGCAGTTTTGCAGAAGTCTATCATTGGCTAGTAAATCATATATAATACACGCGTTTCGTTTCTGATCTATCACTAATGCTTGGTGAGGTGATTGTCAGAGGGAAACTTTAGTTGAGAGTAAATTACATTTAACGGTTCAATTATCTGCTCCAGCGAGAATGAAACGAAAGATAGATAAGGACTTGGCGAGACGATAGTCAGAGATAGATTAAAAACTTTATGCGCAAGTGAATAAAACTTAAAGGGTTGATCTTCTGATTCAGTCATAGTAAAAAACGATAATTTAAGACACCCATTGCCATAAGTCACTAATAATCATTCAAGTACTTAACCAACCATTTGCGACTGACTCGGAATCAAGTCAAAAATTAAAGATAAAAAGGAGAAACGGAAAGTTAGAAGACAGTGTAGTGAAAGACTGTCTCTCCTCCAGGGTGATCGAACTGCTGCCTTCAGATTTGACTCAGCGGATGGAGTTGAAGTATGTTAAAAAGAATGTGAGCATAGGTCAATTTACCTAGACTTGGAAGTTTGCGCGGACTTTTGGTGGTTGCTGCTAAAATGGACAGAACGAAATAGACGAAGGGGTAAATAAGCAAAAAAGGCAGGTTGTGTATACTGAGGTCGAAGTCACCGTGTAATCGGTCACTTCTGAGACTAGAGATCACGAAAATAGGCTATGCCTAGACTTCGAAACGAACGACCATTAACAAATGCGCCAGGATCTGCAGGGTATTCACTTCCTCAGAACCGAATGCGGAGGACGTGAACATGTGCAGGTCGGTCAACCGAAATATCATGCGCAAATGCGATCTACATTGGAAACGCAATGCGGATTCCGCTGGTAGGGCCCTGTATTCAGTTGGGCATTCTATGCGGGAGCTGCGAGAAAAAGCGCAGAAGGCGCACATATGCAGAACGCTTAGGCGTTTGCTCCTACGAAGGATCCTCGACACGGTAAACGCGAAATCAGTAAATGAACTCAGGGCAGAGGGGTGCCAACATTGAGTTATGTCACCGAGAAAAAGAATCGAAGAATTGACGAATAAGCAACTGATGCAGATTCAGTGGACTTAGCAGGTATACCGTGGGTAATCTGCCCACTCAAATTCGACGTTTAGCAGGATAGCACTTTCGTCTTCTCCGATTCATACATTTTACATTTGTTGGCCCCCGCCGCTCTCATTTGATCGGTCGACTGTCACGATTTAATTAGAGTTGTCGCATATTTAAATGCCATCTAATCAGTCATCAGAAGCGCAAGAATTGCACTTTTGGGGACCATGTGACATAGAAATCAGTGCCCACACTAGTGAGAGAGCTAAACGACCGATTTGGCAGTCTGTATATTGAAGAACCCTCTGAGGTGTATGACAAAATGAAATGGACCACCTATAGTCGCAACTTGAAAAAACTGATCAAGGAAATCAGATTTCTGATGGAGAAGCGGACAAATACCTCGGATGTGTTCCAATTCCCTAACTTCTAGGACCTTGGCCCAAAACGTAGATCATTTTGATGGAAGATCTCCAAGCCGTTGAAAACATTCAAGTGGAATCTCCGATTCCTGGGCTCGTAACCAAAGTAGTCCTGCACTTTATTCAGTGACTTCCGTTACCGGAGGTCGGACTAACAAGCTCAGTTCGTGAATGACAAGTTCGTCATCGACAGATGACAGATCTCAACATTTGAAAAAAAATAGCTCAGTGCTGACTCTCCTGTCGTACAACTCATAGTAACGCAAGGGGACATCCAGCTGACTTTCCTTCATATCCTCATCCGTAGGTCCAGGTGAATCTTTCAGTGAAAGAATGTTAAAAGTAGCTAGGGTGCAGCAAGGCTGATCAAGCTCAGTTCGGCCGGGGCAGACGGCCTCCTCATAACATTACGTTCTTGCCTAAGGTTGCCCCCTGTGAATCAACAACTAAAGTGGAATGTGCGTCGGAATCGTCATATTCGTTTTTTGGTGGTTGCGCTAGTTCCAGCAACCACCGATTCCTGGTGTTCTGGGACTTAACTGGCAAATTAGGCCCTGTAATCTGAGTACTAAATATTCAACAGGTGTATTATATTGTTGCCGCATCTTTGTCTCATATTTGCTTTTGCACTCACGCCTTCACCTTTAGCACGGTTGGAATGGTAGATAAAATATTTCGCTCACATACCGACACTTCCCACACATCCAAATTAGGCCGAACATAGTGCTACGTGATAAATACATCGAACTTATACCGTCCACAATTAGTGACTCCAAACGTAAGCCAGTCTTTTTCCGAATATACGATATAGTCGGGTCTTCATCATGGACAGCTTTCCACTAGCTGTTCAACATGTTTTGGCACCTGCTTCCGGCATTCAGACGGTCGCAGAACCTAGTCAACTGGTCGAGCGTCTTATGTGGATGCACGCTTCTTTCAAGCCATCACTTTTGGCTCTCTCTCAACGTCCTCAGTTTCGTCCGTGTCTCCCCTCTCTGAACTGAAGTCTGAGGTTGCGGAGCTTGCCCAAGATATCGCTTCTCTTAAAGAACAGGCAGTCGGGTCATAATCCCGGAGCCCGTCGTAGTCATCTGCCCGGTATGTCCAGTCTGCACCTTCCGCTAGTCTCCACACAGCCGCCGCCTGCTGGTACCACACCATCTTTGGTGCCAAAGCCCGTCGCTGCATCTCTCCCTCCTCTTTCGTCTCCAAGTAGCGCAAACGGGTCAAACTAACCGGCCCGAAGGTCTTTGCGACCAACCTCTCTGGCATCTCGCACATTCTACGTGCGCGATACCCGGAGTGGGAGACGTTTCCTCGTTGATACTGATGCTCATCTGCGTGTCATCCCTCCCACAGCAGGCGACTCTCGGTGTCACAATCCTGGTCTCCTCCTTCAGGCCGTAAACACCTCGCCAAATGCCACCTTCGGCACTTGGTCACTCTCACCGGACATCCGCCTGCGCGGTCTCTTCCCCTGGGTCTTCGTCGTTTCTGACATGCCCTGTGTCATTCTTGGTGCCGACTTTGATCTTCTGGTCGACTGCCGCCAGTTACGTCTACAGGACCAGACCACCAAACTCAGCCTCCCGGATATCCCGGATATATGCCGTCCTGGACCCTGACCCAGGTAGTCTACTTGGACAGCTTCTCGTCGAATATACTCGCCTCACTCGTCCGAACTTCAGGGCATCTGCCCCACCGCATGTTGTTATTCATCATATCCGAACCGCTGGCCCTCCTGTGTTTTCTCGGCATCGCCGTCTCGCGCTCGTGCGTCTTGCTGTCGGCAGGGCAGAGTTCGGGCACGTGCTTCAACTGGGCACCATCCGTCAATGTGAAAGGCCTTGGGCCTCACCCCTCCAATGGTTCCCAAGGCAGCTACTGATGAATTGCGGCCCTGCAGTGAACACAGGGCCTTGAATAACGTATCCGTCCGGACCGCTATTCTGTTCCGCGTCTTCATAATTTTGCCGATGCCGCATTCGGCAAGTTTGTGTTCTCGAAGGTCCACCTGGTCCGTGCCTTCCACTAGATTCCCATCTCTTCTGAGGACGTTTCGGAGACGGCCGTCACTACTCCTTTTGGTCTTTTTAAGTTCCTGCGTATGCCGTATGGACCCTACAATGCCTCCCAAACCTTCCAAAGGCGCGTGGACAGTGTTTCGTGGTTTACCTTTTGTCTGCGTTTATAGTGAAGACTTCTTGGTGGTCAGCTCCACCGCCGAAGAACACATTGAGTACCTTGCAAAGGTGTTTGACTGCCTCCAACAATTTGGCGTCGTTCTCAACCCGTCTTCGGTTTTGCCCCCCTTGAATTTCTCGGATACCTGGTCGACTCCACTGGCATCCATCCTCTTTCTTCGAAGGTCGCGTCCCTCCGTGAATTTCTGCTTCTTACTTCCAAGCACCAACTGTAGCGCTTTCTTGGCATGGTTAATTTCCACCGCCAGTCCCCCTTGCATTGTGCTGACATCATCCTACAGCTCACTAACCTCCTCGCTGGTCCCCAGAACGTTCGGCCGACTTGTCTGCAGACGCCTCCTGTTGCTATTGACAAGGTGACGGCTGCCCTGGCCGACGCTACTCTTCTGAGCCATTCTACTTCAGACGCTCCCATCTCCGTCGTGCTCAAGGCCTCTAGTATCGCAGTCTGCACGGTTCTACAACAGCACCCTGCAGGTCACACCCAACCCTTAGCTTTATTCTCCGGAAAGTTATAGCCTGCCGAATCGCGCCACAGGACAGTTGGACAGGAGCTGTTTGCCGTCTACCTCGTTGTAAAACACTTCGGCACTGCCTTGTGGGCAGAGACTTCACCATCTTCACCCATCACAGGCCACTTCCCTTCACACTGAAGTCGACTTCTGATAAACTCAACCTCCGGTGAATTCGCCAACTGGACGTCATCTCGCAGCTCATTTCATACAGTCGTCATATTGGCGGGTCAGGTAATGAAGTGGCTGACCCGCTGCCCAGATCCTCCATCGCTCACCTCTAGCTTTCTCCCGACATCGACCTCGCTGAGATAGCCGCTGGACAACGCCGTACTGGTTCGTCCTGTTATGAGGATGTTCCTGGCCTCCAACTCCAGGACCTGCAATTGACTACTGGCAACGGCACCATTCTATACGAGACCTCCACCACTTCCCACCGTCCCTTTGTGCCACCATGCCTTTCCGGCTGTCTCTTGAGGGACGGAGGCGTTCCGCATCCAAAGACGAACTTACAAGGAGGTCATGAGCA